TCCAATGGCTTGTACAAATTAAACTCAACTTGCCAAAAGCACAAATAGTTTGTATGCGATCAATTCATCGAACACATGGTGTACAAAACACCCCAAGTGATATTCTCTAAGTAGTTATAGTGTAATTTTTTTCCAATTACAATCAAAATGATTGTAATGAGTTTTCAAAACAAATTTCAACACTACACTACATCAGAATTTTATCAAACAATTGATTATACACAAATGTTAACAATTCAAAAATAGAGAAATAGAGAAAGAGAAAACAATACTGAATTTGTTTAGGCAGTTCCCCTTTCGTCCTCGCTTAGGGTACGCCTGCCCCCAATTCTAGAAATGGAATTGAGATATGTATTATCTTGTTGCAAAATTTTATACAATATAATCAATAGTCACCACACACTCAATCTTAATTGTTGATGTTGATACTATGTCTTCTCTCCCCTTGATTCAAGTCGAATCAAGTGCCTCAAACGTGTTGAATAAACCTCCGATTCCAGCTACTTAACTTAACAGCCCCACGGTTTTCAAATCTTTAGCTCGACTGATTTCAATCACACAGAGTTTGAACCTAAATCTTTCTTTCACAATCCTCCGGTTACCGCTACTAGATTGAACGAACCACCCGTTATTCAATCACTTTTGCTCGACTGAATCTGTGAAGAAATGATCTGTGCAAAATCCCCAAATCCTTAAGATTCTTGGCGGACAAAATCCTAACGGTTTTATTCAAGAAAAATCCACTAAAATCTCAACCCAAACTCGATATAATATCCTACGTTTAGACATTATCACCTCAATGATGCAAATGATCAACAAAAATTGTTATGTGTAGTTGCTAAGAAAATTCAAGAAAGAGGATGAAGATGATGATAAATTTCAGTGTCAATATTTCACTTTTCTTGTTCTATATTCAAATTATGAGCCAAAAAGAATATATATGATGTTAAGACCAATTAACAAACATAACAACAATTTGACATGTGATAGATCAGAAAAATGGTGCATTTTTAGCGAATGGTCGACCTAAGAATTAATGGGGGGTCGACCCGAGCACACCCGATTGCAGAACTACGCAAAAATTAAAGTTGTGCGTCGACCAAAACAGATCCATGCATCGACGCAAGCTTGCCCAAAAATGACAAATGCAAATACTTATAGTATGAGTCGACCAGAGGGTCGACGCAAGTACACCTGAGAGTAAAAACTTGAAATTCACATTACATGAGTCGACCTAAGCAGGGCTTTGAGTCGGCTCAAGCACCCTAAACTTCCAAAAAAGACTTTTTGCACACATTTTAGTCTACCTAAGCAATACTTATGCATACCTAAGTCTCCTAACATGATCAAATACACACAAAGCATATATGACGTTCTTCTATATGTATAGACACATGACTTTGAAGACTAAGACTCGATGATACCGTCCAAATTACAAAGTACAAACTAGACACGTTTTGACATCATTAAAATAAGGACTGGGATACCTTGCCCTCACACTTCAGCCCATAATTGCTTATGTAGATTATTTTCCTTCAACATGCTCTTTATCAAGTCAAGTAGAGTTACATTTCTCCTTTTAACGAGAACATTATGTTATGGAGTGTATGAAGCAATCACCTCGTGCTCAATACCATGTTTATCACAAAACTTCTTGAGCTCTATTGAGTTGAACTCACCTTCACCCTTGGTTCTGAGGATCTTCAACCTTTGCCCACTTTGACTTTCAGCATTCACTTTGAACTTCTTAAACTCAACAAACACCTCATGTTTGAACTTAATGAATGCTACCCATGTCATTCTTGTGAACTCATACACAAATGAGACGAAATACTTGTTCCCTCCAAGTAAATGTACCTTAAATGACCAACATACATCAGAATACACCACACCCAAAGCATAAGTTGCTCTTGGAGGCATATCTGATGAGAATGGAAATCTTTGTTGCTTGCCTCTCATGCATATATCACATGATTTCTCTAGTGTCACAATCTTAGGAATTCAATGTACTATATTATATGAACTCGGATTCTCTAAGCTTTTGTAGTTCAGATGCCCCCAATCTCTTATGCCACAACTCACTTTCCCCTTTAACACTTCTTGTACTAAGGCGTTGAGTGTCTGTTGTTGCAACATTCACTTTCAATGTCATGTTTCTTCCCAATTTAGACTATATAATCAGCTTATGATTACAGTCATACAACTTCAAGATATTGTCCTTCATGGTTACTAAACAATCATTTTTCAATCAGCTAACCTACATTCATTGGATTGATATTCATGCTAGGAACATACCATGCATATTTAATTAGTACAAATTTCCATTGTTCAATTTCACCCTAACATTTCTCATTCCTTTAGCATTCAGATACTCATCGTTAACACATCTAATCTTGGTCCTTTTACTATAGTCATAATCAACCAGCCACTGCTTGTTTCTAGTCAGGTGATTTGAGCAGCTAGTATCCATATACCACTTGTTTACCATTATTCCATATGCATTCTCATATGCCATAAATAACACATGTTCATCATCAAAATCTCCTCTGGCTATGTTGGCTTCTTCACCCTTGTTAACCTTGTTTGGCCATCAATCAACAACAAAATGGCTAAACTTGTTGCAATTGTAGCACTGGATCTTTATCTATCATACTTCTCCTTTCCCTTTTGAACATTCTTATGTTTCTTCTTTTTAGAGTTGGAAAGTTCTGACTTCTAAACACCACCATCGTACTTTTTCTTGTTCTTTAGCCATGCTTGCTTCTGGTTCTTCTTTCCAGAAGAAGCTTTTAGAGTCCGAGCTTTCAGAGCTTATTTTGACTCTCTTTCAAAGTTTCTTTCAGTAAGACGCAACTCTTGTGCCTCTAAACTACCATGAAGCTCTTTAATTCTCATGGTGCTGGTGTCTTTAAAGTGTTCCATAGCTACAACCATGTAATCAAACTAAGGAGCAAGTGATCTCAATACCTTTTCATTGATTACTTGTTTAGAGAGTGTTTCTCCATAAAACTTCATCCCATTCGTGATCACAATCACTCTAGAGATGTAATCATACACCTTCTCATTGTTCTTCATGTTGAGATTTTTATATTACTTGCGTAGGAAATGCAACTTGACCTTCTTCATTGATGCGTCACCACCATAGCATCGTACTAGTGTATCCCACGTCGTCTCTGCCGTCGTTGAACTAACAATTTTCTAAAACACCTTCGTATCCACACACACTGATGGATATAAAACAACGTCTTCAAATCTTTCTTCCCCGTCTTACGTTGCACATTTTTTGCGCTTCCGTTGCATTTTCTACAACCGGCGAGTAACCGTCATTGACTAGATCAAGAACATCTTAAGCTTCAAACAACACAAGCATCTGAATCGACCATCGATTATAGTTCATTCCGAAGAATATTGAAAACTTTGTGTTCAAGCTTCTGCTTCCGCCGTTCATCTAAGTTCTTGTGCAAACCACTTGGTTCTCACCAACACTTGTGTTTCCCAAACTCTGAAAATCAAAGTCTGTGATTCTCTTTGATTTCGAACTTCAATTCAACACGAATTTTAAGAACGAAATTAATAACATACCTTACTACACTCGTGTTTCTCTTTGAATCGAACCAAAACTCAAAATACTAATTATTGGAGTTTACACGAAATCCAATTAACAATGCACAAGAATGAAGAAAATGACAAAGAACAATTGCAAAAAGAGAAAGAACTACGAGACTTTCAAACTCAAATTGTAAAAAGTTTAATACTATTACAAATACAACTTCATTTAAATTTTATGCAAGAAGTCAAATAAAACTCAAACTAAACACAAATACAAATTAAAATAAAATATAAATGAACAATTACATTTAACAAATCAAAAATAAAAACCATGAATTCCAAAACATTAAAAAAAAAAAATAGATCCATAACCGAATCATATTCATATGTAAATATAACGATGACATTAATCATTTTAAAAACGCCTATACGCCTCATTTCTTAACGTAAGGAAAAGAAACCATCTCCAAGGTTTAAAAAAAACATTATCATTTAATTGATTTTTTTTACATTCATTTAATTTGAAATGGAGTCTATGAACACACTCAAACGACCCCTCTTTCAAATTTTACAAAAATACATTTATGTACAAAGGTCAGCATCAACGACAAAACTAGTCACAACCGGAAGAAAAAAAAAAAACATTATAAGTAATTTAAAACAAGATTCAGAAGTTTTAAATTTTAAATTTCAAAATGAGAGATGCAAAAGACCAAAATTTACCCAAAAACAAGTAACGACAAATAAAAAATTGGGTTTCGGTAGTACTCAGTGGAATTAGGTGAGTGAATAGTAATTCCCTCAGTCACACAAAGTCCAAAAAATTGACAATTCAGAAAATACATAAAAAAAAGAAGAATAAGAAACTGTAAAAAAATAAAAATCCCATTCCACCCCAATCCATAATAAAAAATATCTCTGCCGCTTAATTATTTTAAATTTCAAAATTATTAATTAAATATCTTTTTTAAAGATTAGTGATATAATATAATATAATAGAGTAGACAAATGGCAGGTGGGTTGCATGCAAGGACATATGTCTCAACAACTGGGCCATTTGTTCCAGTTGTTTTCAATTTTCACAAAATCTTTATCTTTCTCTTTCATTTTCCACCAATATATTTATTTTTTTGATTTTGAACTGTCTTAAAGGGACCCTGAATCCTTAATAAAAGCAACTTGTCTTCAACATTCTATCCTCCATCTCACTTTCTACTACTTTCTCTCTCTACATCTTTGCTCTTTTTTCTCTTGCTCTTCTCTTTTATTTTATTTTCTCTATTTTGTGGGTCCGTTACTCTGCAAATACAAGCACACATACAGCTGTATAATTATTATATCTTCCACAACCAGCAACCTCAACTTCCTTTGTAACTGCCTCAAATCCAATAACCGAAACCCTATTTTTTTTATCTTCTTATTTTCTCTCTCTCTTTTGTTCTGTTTTTGCTATGGCTAAAGTTTTTGAAGAGAAGAGTGAGATTCGCGACGCTGCGTTTGGTTTTCCTAATGAGTTTCCTTACGAGTTTGACTCGTTCGAAACTGAAAACAGTGATGAGGAGGATTTCTTTGCTGGGTTAACTCGTCGACTGAGTCAAGCCTCGATGAATGAAACTCGGAAGGAAAAACTCACTGTTCCCATTCTCAACAAGGAGAAACCTGAGGTAAACACTGTTCGGATTCAGAGTCTTTATTTTGAGATTTGTAAGTGTTTTTGTTTGATTTGTATGAAACTGACTAGAATTTGTTGGTTTTTGTTGATTCAGGAGAAGGTTCGAGTCATGGCTGGTTCGCCTCAGTCGACGCTGGCCGGAATCGGAAGCTGGTCCGGGCGTAGCGGTGGTTCGAGCGAAGGAAGTCCGAATGGTTCGACTCGTGTTCCTTCGCCGACGACTATACCGTTTTCCGCTGAGAACGATGCTTGGGATGTGTTGTATGCTGCGGCGGGGGAGGTTGCTAGGTTGAAGATGAACGTTGAAGCCTCGTTGATGGAGATTCAGAACAAAAGAGGAGTACTCGGTGGCGTTCCACCACGTGTTGCGGCGGAGAACCGTACCACCACGTTTTTCTCAAACCCTAATCCTTCGCTTGTAAGTTTCCTTCGTAACCGTTTCTGAAACGGCGCCAACGAGTATTTTCACCAATGCGTTTTTTCAATTATTAATTAATTATAATTGTTATTTAGGTTCAATATCAACAAGTGAAGCAACAGTGTGATTCTGTTTGGGGAAGACAAGCCCAAACCCAAGCCCAGGCTCAGGCCCAGGCTCTTGCCCAAGCGAAAGCAGCTAGCTGGTCGACTCAGGTTCAGAACAGTGGCTATGATTATGAGGGTATGAAATGCACGCGCCCTATGCCTCGTTCGGTTTGGCATTCTCCTATTCAAGTCAAGCATCAAAATAACCCGGTTCTTTTTAACGGATCCGGGTCTCGCCCCGTTTCTCAAATTGGATCTGGTGTCAAAAAAGGATGTGGAGGAACAGGGGTGTTCTTACCCCGGCAATATGGGGCCCCTCTCCCCGAATCTCGCAACAAAACAAGTAAAGTCCTAAACTACTTGTGTTTTTTTGTTTAATTTGATTACTTGTGACATTTTTTATTTTTAAGTTTAAGGTCTAACTGTTTTTGTTATGCTTTTTTAAAGATTGTGCTCCTGTTTTGGTCCCAACAAGGGTGATTCATGCTTTAAACATGAACATTGATGATTATAACGGTGGTAGACAACCTCGTTTCTCGAATGATTTCAGCGTGGATTATGGTTAGTGTGTTATTAATAACGTGTTAAGTTAATTTTTGACCCAAAATTTGTTAGTTTTCTTGGCATGAATTTGTGGTGATTTTTTAAGTTTTTAATTTGCAGATGCATTGTTGGCAAGGAGAAACGCTCTTCTGATGCAGCAGAGATTAAGGATGCAACGTGAAGAGGCAGCTAGCTATGAAGCTCGGCTTCCTCAGGAATGGACTTATTGATTCATTCGATGACGCTTCAAACGAAGATTCAAAATACTCTTCACTGATGAAGAACTAATGAAATTAGTTAGAAGGGTCTTGTGTTTTTTAGTTTAAAAATAATAAGAATATTGTAGTATAGCATAAAGATGAGATTTAAGAATGTGTTTTGGTTAGTTTAGTGACAATAAATCATCCGGTTTTTGTGAGTGATGCAGCTTTCTGGGAACACTAGTAGTTGCCAGTTGGAAAGAACAGTGAAAGATTAGGGGTTAGATTAATCTTTTGATTAAAATATTTATATAATAATTATTTTATTTGTAATAAGGTAAAGTGGTCATTTTCTTCCATTAGATGGAAGTAAGAAAGGTAAAGGGCTTATTAGCATTAGCTAAAGTTTCAAGTCAAGACAGCTCAAATGTTGTAAAAGCTCTTATATCAGTTTGTAATAAATTATGCTATTTTATTTATCTTGTTGAGAATGGTGAATGTGGAGTACAGTATGTTTTATTTGTTGTTTGAAAAGAAAAAACAAGTATAGAAATTTCTAAACAAAAAAAGACAAACATGCAGGCGTTGGTTGGTGAGTGAGGCATGTGGATATGGATGGATTGGTGAGAATGAAATACTATAGATGTAGGAATTGATGGGTTGCCTCTGAGGTGTGGTGGGGCCTTTGTTGTCTTGGATACTGCCCATCCATCTGTACTCCCGCTCTTTTTTTAACTCAAAGAAGCAACTATACAGTTGTCTTTTTGAAAACTGTGTTTGATTTGGGGCTTTTCCACCACACCTTTTGACCGGGTCAAGCTTTTTATTTTTCATTGTATATTTATATTCAACTCCCTCCATAATAGTACACTCTTAGTAACTGACACATTTTTATTTTATTTAACTATTTCAATAGTGTAAAAATAAATATATTCTTTAAAATATCTCTTGGGAACACTAATTCTATGAAAATATTGAAAGACTTATTCTTTGTTTGGCTGCAAGTCACAGCTACCGTTAATGACCCTCTCCACCTTAATTTTTCTAAAGCTACAATTGCTAGATGTATTGGGATACTTCTATTTTATCCCACAGACATAAGAGTAAAGGAGGACAAGGCAAGTCAATTTGGGTTGAGTATATGGCTAGCACTTTTTGCTGTCTTAGAGCTGAGATTTAGTTGCACATTAATCATAACGGGCATCCATTAACTGCAACATTTGTTTTCTTGGTCAAATCGTTAGTCCTATGATGACTCATTGACAGGAACATTTGTCCTTTGGTCGAATCGTTCGCCTTATGACTGGTTTGGATAAAATCACTTATTTCCTTTGGTCGAATTGTCAAGTTATTTCCTTTGGTCGAATTGTTCGCCTTATGACTGGTTTGGATAAAATCACCTATTTCCTATTCACGAAATGTGAGGATTAACGTGTCTTAGGACATTATAAATATGACTTCGATTAAAGATGAGAGAGTAACTAATCTCTAAACCTTAAAACTAAGGTCCAATATATCTCTATAAATATCTCAATTAAATAAAGATGAGAGAGTAACTACTCTCTAAGTCTTAGAACTAAAGTCCAATATATTTCTATAAATATCTCAATTATATAAGTTGAAAGAGAACATTCAATTCACTCATAATCCTGAGGCAACCATACACAATTAAAGATTGCCGATCATTGTACTTTTAACTAGTACAATTGGCATCCACGGTGAGAATCAATAAAAGTTGTTTGGACCGTACTCACTATCATCCATCAATCTCATTCGTAACATTCTTCATAGTGATGGTTGTACAAAACTTAAATCTCGTTGTTAACACCATAGTAAGAGGTTTTGTCGGTAATGGAGAATCTAATTCTTCTCGTCAGAAGTATGTCGGACAGATTTCAACAACAAATATTGTACTCGTCACTCCTGAAATATGTATTGTGAATGAACTAGAGTTTGAAATCACCTTTTCTAGAAAAAAATGCCATCGAAATCCTCCCTCATAACAATGATCTCATGATCTTCACGATGAAATATGATAATCGGGATGTAAACACAGGTACTGATTAACCCTTGAAGCTCAACAAACGTCTTGTTCTAGAGTGCCTTCGAGAGGTTTCAACTTAACCCAGACGACATCTGAGCATTCCAAGGTTCCTTAGTTGATTTTTCAAGCGAACATGTACAGGTAAAATGTCACATAACACTTGAAACAACGTTTGGGTAGGAGGCGAGTTGGGACAGGTCAGGGGAATCAGGAGTTTGCCTAGGAATACTATTAGAACAATCTAGAAATGAGGAGGGAGCATACCGGTAGTATCGAGTAAAGATCACTCTAGAACGAAGACTTAGAGTAACATTCTTGGGTTTGGAACATTTAAGTTGATTTTAAGTACATATTTCACAAGGATTCAATTTCAGATACTGCGTACAAGTCAACAAGGATTCAAATACAAGATTTTATATTTTCAACATTATTCAGATTGTGATTGTATTAAAAGGCTCTATAATATTTTTCAAAATCATATTGGAAGAACAACGAAATTTTAATGGACAACCATTGAAGAGTGGAGTAGGCATAATGAGGAGAATTGTCGAACTGCTATACGTACAATCTTCTTCTTCTCTCTCTATTTTAATTTCGTTTAGATTTGCATGATTACGTTTATTGATTTCTTAGAATTGCACGTGGTTAGATTTATTGTCTTAATGACGATTTCGTTCATAGGTATAAGTTTTGTTAGAATTGGACTCCGAATCGCTCTTGTTGTTTAAACCTTGAGATTATAATTCTAGACTTTTTATTGTATCAAAGTTATATGTTTACACTACTCGTGTAAAACAATTGTAGTTCAATATATCTCTTAATTGTTTTTGATTACTCGTTTCATCTATGTTCAATTTTGTACAATCATCAAATTTTGCGTATATTCTATCCAAAAGCATATATTTTGTACAACCTGTGCTTCCACCATACAAACTATTTTTTAAATTATGACATTTTTGAAATATTTTTAACCGGTCAATTTTTTAAGAAGGTCTATTTAACCCCCTTCGAGACCATTGTATTCCCATGTTTTCTTCACCAACACCCCTAAACTATCAAGTTAACAAGTTAGACACCTCTCTATTTGATGCTTAAAAGGAAGAGTTAGTCGTCATATTACAGAGGAATGTAAACTTATTTGCTTAGGCGTCCTCCGACATGCCAGAGATAGATATCAAGGTGGTTTGCCATCGCCTCGTCATCGATTTAACAATGAAGCCAATATCTCAAAGAAAGCGTTTAGTTGTAAAAAAAAAAGAGGGTCAGCATTGATGAAGAGGTTCAGAAACTAAGAAGCGTTAGCTTTATAAGTGAGGTTAAGTGCCCATCCTGGCTTTCTAACATGGTATTGGTTCAGAAATCATCAAATAAGTGATGTATGTGCGTCGACTTCATTAACATGAATGCCGCCTGCTACAAAGATTTGTATCCACTGCCCAACATTGATCGAATGATTGATGGGTCTTCAGACTGCAAAATCCAAAGTTTTATGGTTGCCTATTTTTGCTATAATCAGATCAAGATGAATCTTATGGATGTACCCAAGACAACATTCATATGTAACCATGACAGCTACTGCTATAATTTCATGACTTTTAAGACGAAGAACACATGAGCCACCTACCAAAAGCTTGTGGAAGCCGTATTTTAAAAATTGGTAGAGCTTAACCTGAAAGTCTACATTGATGATATGATTGTGCAAAAATCAAAAAGGGAAAGCGACATTACAGATACGGAAAACATCATGGAGTCAGTTATGAGGTATATCATGCACTTAAACCCTACCAAATGCTCTTTTGGTGTGTAGGCAAGTGGGTTCTTAGAATTTATATTAACTAAGAGAGGGATACAGACGAACCCATACAAGTTTCGATCTATTATAAACATGAGGAGTCCATCCAGTGCCTAAGAGGTTAAATAACTAACAAGGCAAGGCAGTTATCCACCCTACCCAATATTCTTTCTTGTGCATGTGACAAGACATTCCATTTATTTACCAATTTCAAGAAGAAGGACAAGTTCAAATGAACGCGCGAGTGTGAGAAAGATTTATCCAACCTGGAAACCTTCCTAGTGACGCCACCCATATTGACACATCTTGTAGCAGTAATCCCCATCTACTTGTACCTATTTGTCATTGACTAGGCGATGAGTTTGTACTCATCCAGGAAAAAGAAAAAGTTGAACATCGTTCTTATTTTGCGAGTAATGTGTTCAATGTCGTTGAGGCCAAATACTACAAGATTTAAATCCCCACCTTGGCAGTCATAAGAACGATAAATAAGCTCATACCTTACTTTCAAGAGTATCATGTCATGGTGAAGACCAACTATCCCATTCAACGTGCTTTGGAGAAGCCATATCTCAGTATGGATGGTATATTGGACAATCGAGTTATATGAGTATGACATCTTATATATCCCTAGAGAAAGTATAAAATATTAGGTGCTAGCTGATTTTCTAGAAGAGTTTAACTCTCTAGTATGCGAGGAGATCACCCACACATGGATACTACATGTAGATGATGCTTGCAACCTGAAAGGAAGTGATACCAGAATAGTATTAGAAGGACCAAATGACCTATTGATAGAGCAATTGTTGAAGTTTGGATTCAAGGCTAATAATAATAAGATAGAACATGAAACCCTCATCGCCGACATGTCCCTCGCCCTTGAGTTGTGCGCTTCAAGTTATGGTTCTATGTGATTGCATATATAGTCAAGGTGATCCAAGATGATGATGTTAATGGATAGCAAAGATGGAAGTCAACTTAATAGATATTTAGTTTTGATGATGACAACACTTGAAGTTAAGTGAGTGCTGAAGACAAATCAAGTAGTCAAATATGCATAAGATGGTTGATTAATCAAATCTCTCGAATCAAGCTATGCTATTGAAGATCAAGACTTCTATTTAAAGTCAACACTATTGAATGTGTAATAGGCAAAATAAAAGCAAAATATAAATAACATAGGAACTTGTAACC